AGCCGAAGAGAGATCAAGGGAGGCAAGGACTCCTGGAGGCGCTGGTGTCCAGCAGGTTACGGTCAGGCCGTTGTTGAAGACACGGGTTCGGTCCTCTTAACCGGGAGACAGGAGACACTCCTATCTTCCGTTGCTCTCAGTGATCACTTGATCACATTGTCCGTGTTTTTCTCACGGATATGACCACCTGCGTAGTAGAGGAGGACTTGGGACCCTGCAGGACTCTTGAACTCCACCACTGTAGTGCTTCTCGGCTGCAGCCCAGCAGTCTAGAGATCCTAGTCTCCCCTGCGAGCTTATTTTAAAACTTAACTCATTGATTTAAATTGCAGCAGCTCTGTTGTAGGTGCCTGTTGACATTATTCATTTTTATACCTCATGTCTACTGTCGTAATACAGTGATTAACAAAATGATTTTGGATGTTTTGAAAAAAAACCCTGAAATCTGGTCTCTTCTAGTATGTTTCTGACTGTGTGGAAGAAGAAGTATTGGAATCTTGGTTTGTGGAGAAATGTTTGTAGGTGGCATCTCTAAGGTGATACACGCTGACGGTAGATTGGGTCTGTGTGTCTGCCATCTTGGGAAGGTCAATTGATTCTTCTTGTTTGGAAGACCAGTACTACACTGTAAACCCTCACATATTCCTATAGTACTGGACCAGAAACTGCTGTTTGTTGCCATGGGGCAGTTTTATTTTGTTCACAGGTTTTAGGGGTATGCATTTAAATAGGCATGCTTTGTTTGTGTGTGTTTTCTACAGGAATGGTGTAGCTCATAGCTCAAATACTGAAGACTGTATGAAATGTACTTACTACCATGTTTCTGTTAGTTTTTTTTATTTTTAGTTTAAGGATCTTATATGTTTGCAGGTTTTGTATTGATAATTATTTTTGTTTTGAAATAAGTCTTGGTTTCTAGGTCTGTTTCATATTGTAATGCATATGGCCTCCATTGATAGATAGATACTTTATTGATCCCGTGAGGGAAATTGCAGAATTGGTACAATTGGTTGTGAGAGCCGGCTTACCCACACGGTGACGTCACCGCCCTTCCCTGTGAATAGCAGGGACCGCAGCCGCTGGGCTGAGGGGAGATTTCCCTTTGGCTCAAGTGGCTTTGTTCCTGTTGAGTGACGCCGGAGGCCTGGGTTTGAGTCCCTAACAGTGGGGGGCTGACCTGATGCAGCAGTGGCGAGGGCACCCACGTGAACCCCAGAGCGTTACAATATATAGTATTTCCTTACTTATTGTAGAGGACTTGAAAATGACTAGTGAATGACTAGTAATGACCACAGTCCCCTGTCCATGACATTTATACATCGCAGTCATATATCACAGCTATGACAGTTGCTCTGTGATAGTCTGACATGGTTGGCAGCTGTCTCTGAAGCAGGACACAAGAAAGGTACTAATGAAAACAGGCTATTTGACCCATCATGCTTGATTGGAATGTTATACTGCACATTTGTGATAGTCCCCTAAAGTAAAAGGATTACTGTACTGTTACTGCAGTCCCTTTTTGTAATTGGACTGTTCTACTCTACACACTTCACTAAAGGGCAACCTTCTGTTGCAGCTGTTCTACTGCACTGGGACTGTT